GAAGCCCCACAGCATCCATGACAAACTGCCCCCAAAGTACCCAGTAAAGCAGATATTACCGCAGGAGGAGGTTTTTATGGAACCACAAAAGCCTGGTTTCCTCCAGCTCTGTCTCATTATGGGATTTTCCTGTTTCTCCGAAGGTGTGAGCGTTAATTAAATGTGCAGGAACTTGATGAATTAAAGACTTGTGCCCGGCTGTTAGAAGTTGTCCAACAGGTTCAAAAGCTGTTTTAGGAGAGACGGAAAGACGGTGTGACAATTTTATTCTCATTTCTTTGAGAAACCACGTTAAAGATATGCAACAAAAAAGGACCCATCTCTAGAAAAATGGAAAACGGGAAAAAGCATACTGAAAAATATTTTTGTGCATCTTGGCTTAGAGGGAGTAAGAAATCAGGTTTGATGTCCACAGAGGCTCTGGGCTGTGCTATCCCTGCCTGCCTTGGCCACTGTGGGGCTGAGGAGCCCGGCAGTTTGGGTCATTTTGCTCGAAGGCCAGGCTAGAACCAGCGGTGAGAAAACCGAACATCCCAGCCACGCAAGATGACCAAGACCGATGTCAAGTCCATTGCAACCCTGCAGTTACGTTCTCAATAAAACCAGGGCGGGAAGGACTCGATGCCACACGACACTGTCGGTGTCAACACCAGTCACAGAGATAGACCCAGCCATGCTGGAAACCAGAACTCAACCATCCAGGACCAAAACAGGACCTGCCTGGATATATGTGGTGGTTCCTGGTCACCACCCCGCTCTCCTCCCTGCATCCCACCTGCACACAGGATTTGGGCACAGCTCTCATCCACTTACAAAGTGATTTCCATTGCACGTCAAGAGGTTGCGACCAAGGTTATGTTACACAAATAATAAAGTGAGCAAAAGCCAAGAAGTTGCACCGCATCCTCTGAAAGGGCCACGTTTCAGCTTCTGGAGGAGCTTTTGGTATCTGCAAAGCAGCATAGCACCTGGCACAGGAAACATCCGTATCTCATGGCTTTCCAAACACCATCTTGCTTTAAAAAGCTCATAGATTTCTTCATGTACCTCAGTATGAGATACTTCCAGCTCATTAGATATGGGACAACCATGGCTCTAGTTCCTTCCCATGGAAAATGTTTTGGCTTGCTGCTGAAAAGGATGAGCACATCTTGTGGGCCACTTCAGAGCAGCAATAGACCTCGGAGTGAGAAACCATCCATGTGACTCAAGGGAGAGTTTCCACATTAAATCTGCATTGCTCTATGAAGACCTAGCCCACCTCACGCCAGTTGCCAAAGCACTAATTTCTGCTGGTGATTAACCCATTCCCAGTGCCTGGGTATGCCACTGACTGCAGGACACGTCTGCAAAGCATTCAAGCAGAGAAAGGATCTCCCAACCCACACCCTCACTGGCAGAATACATCACCACACAACTGGAAATGGGAATCGGCTCCCAGGGGATCACCGTAGGCTCAACACATCATCTTCATCACGGGTGCACCAAGCCATAGCATCTGTGCAATATCTCTACCAAGGGTGGCCATCCCACATCCGACTCATCACCCACCTCATACCACTCAACACCTCCCAGCACCCCATGCGGAGCAAAGACTCCAAAAAACCTCCCCATGCCTGAGCAAACCCCATCACAGAATCACGGTCCAGATCTGGCTGGGTTCTCACTAGGAAAAATAGAAAATTTGAGCTGGGAGCTGCTGATCAGGGTTAGCCAAATATTTATGAGCAGCATTAGAGATGGGTATTTGAAAAAACCTGCAAAAGCTTATTTTCAGTAATGCTCTGTCTAGAGGTCAGTATTAGTGCAGCTCATCGCACATCTCGGCAAGCATCCGACTAAGACTTGGATTTCATTTTGGAAAATGTCAGAAAGCCAGTGTTTTTGGGTGAAACCCTTTCAGTTTTCATCTTGTTTCAGAAAGGAAAGGTTCCAGTATGGAAACAGGACACCTAAGAAAACGCTGGGTGCCAAGGTCACCCATCACCCAGACGTGGTTCAGCCACATTTCCGCCATGCCCATGAGTTGAAGGCATCTGTGCAAAGGTTCTCACTCCCCCTCCCCAGCTGTCAAAGAGGAGCAATTCTGACCTTATCAGATGAGGATTAGTCAGCATTAGTGAAATGCTCTGAAGATGAGCAGTACCATTACCTAAGGACTAATTAGAACGGTTGATTTCTCCTCCAGAGGCTACAGCCCAGCAGTGCCAAGCAGCAGGGCAAGCCCAGGTGCATCACTACCTGCACCGTGCCCGTATTGCACCACACAGCAACCTGCGACACCTGCACGGAGCAGCAGCTCAAAGACTTTAGCAACAAAGCTGTAAGATTGCACATTTCTTTTAAAGAAGGTGAAAACACAGAACTACTCACCATGATGTGGGCTTCCTTATGCGGCCTGCACCAGCCGGGTGTCTGACACTCACCCCTGCCAGAAACAGGGGTAACTGCAAAAGTTGTCCTTAATAATTTCCAGGGTGCAAGTTTGGACACAGAAACTTCTCTGCTCAAAGAAACTACGAAATGGGAAGCCTGAAGTCATTACCACCACATCCAAAGCTGCAAGAACTTCCTCAGCAAAGTCCCAATTTCAGCCCGCTCTGCTCTACCCTTGCCTGAGGAATGACATGAGGCTGCTGGACCAGATACTACAATAATACAGACGTAAGGGAGCAGTAAAACCCCTTTTCCAGCTTTTTTCTTCCCCAGCGTGCACTCACCAACCCTTTGCATAAGCTGGGAAGAAGCGTTAGGAGATGACTCCACAGACACAGTGCCTCCAAGCCTTCCCTATGGTGGAGTTCATCAGGCAAGGACAAACTTTGCTATGCACAGAAGTAACAGGAAAAAGAATGATCCCGTATCCGCTTTCTGCCATCCTACACCTGCCCCACTGCTTTCCTGCTCCTCAGCATTTCCGTGCATGGCCGGATGGGAGATGGGAGCTCCATCTCTTGGGCTCAAGGTACCCCAAGGTTTCTCTGTATTCAGGCAGCAAAGCACGGAGCTGGACAGGAGCACGAGCAAGGCAAGAGTCATTTCCAGAACAGCACATTTCAAATCCACACAAGTCAATGGGAATTTAACTTGATTTATGGCAGTCAAATACTGCTCATTTCCTCAACAGGAAAAGGATCTTTGCATTTTACCTTTGCCAATCATCATCCCTGCAGATGAAAGCCCCATTAAGCGTGTATCAAACTTTTTCTAGCCCAGGCCAGAGTTTTTTCCTCTGTGCCTCACCTTTTAATCGTGCACCAATCCTCACAACCCTCCTGACACCTCCAAGGACCAGGGCAGCTGCCAGACAAGGCTGCATAAATTCATCAATTCCAGGCAAGCAGCAGTTTGCTCGATACCCAGTTCCTGCTTCTGTGCATAACGTGGGGCTTCCAGGATTGCCCACCACCCCCTTTTAGGGCTCTCATGGTGAAGAGCCCAACCTGTGCCAGCTCTTCAGTCAGGGTATGCCTTGGTTATCCCAGGACTACCAAACTGCTCATTTCCCCATCCGTCCCCTCTACAGCCTTCACAGCTGGCACACTGCAAGCACCAAGGCAGCAGCTATTACAGGGTTTAATTGATCACCAGTACACGTGCGGCCACTATTTCACAAAAAATAAGAGACTAAATGAGGTCTCTGAGGTTTCTGTTATTCCATAACTTCTCCCTTTTGATGTAGAGCACAGGACATTGTGTCCGCGATGCAACACCAGTCTGCTCATGCAACAAGTCGTCCATCACATCATGATGAGCAATGAAGATCATTACCAAACAGATGAACGTTGTTCCTGTGCTCCACATCATTTTCTGAATCCTCAGCAACTTCATGATCAGCCAAACCACCCTCTCCTTCCAACGCTGCAGGTTCTTGTGAAGGAAACTTTACACAGCCCCAGACCATTTAGTTCAGAAATAAAACCATGTACTCGTTTCCCTGACAAGCCTCTGACTTCACTGAGCTTCAGCAGCCGATCATGTGTGACCGTCAGCCAGCGACCACCAATGCATTTGGCACAGGGTGTAAAAATTCAGGTAACAGAAATGAGCTTTCAGAAACTTTTGAGAAATATTGTAAATGGAGGGAAAAGGCAACTTTTTTTTACCAGGAGACCAGTTAATCTCATGGTGACCAAAGAAAATAAGTGAGATTTTCCTACAGACGTTGGTAATTGAAGGGTCTAGACAATGTTCTATGTAATATTAGGGAACCACTGTACAAGAAGTGAAGAGATAGGACATGCTGAATTTCTATCTTTCACCATAGACCAAAATACAAAAGGTAATGCTGGTTGCAAAACATTTCAAGTTCTCCTTATATTTCCCTCCTGCCAGAAATTAAGTTTTCAAGTGGACACAAAAATGCATCAGAAGCACTTCATTTCATTAACTCTTCCCAGATCAGCCTCGTCTGTTTTTGTTGCTGTTGTGGGTTTTGTTTTTAAATACGAAGCAGGTAACAAAGATGCTGACACTGCCAGACCACACTCACTTCTCCCAGTGCTATCCAGCTGCCAAAGTACAGAAACGCACGATCAACAACCCACAGCGATCTGTTCAGGAGGTGCGGTTTATTTTAAACGACATTTCTGTTTTCTTAGCAGGTCTATGCTCGTGACCTGGATGGATCTGCTCCATCCTGACAGCGCTCAAGCCCACATGAACAGCCTCAGTGCAGGTGTACACTAGGGACAGCTCTGCGTACTCTTTACTCCAGGACTCTTACCCATTACAGAGGAAAAAAAAACAGTTCAGGTTGTCTGAACACCCAAACCTCCCCTTCCAAATCAAAGGTGTCACTTGTGCCTTCTTTCCGTGCTGAGATACGCAGCCAGCCTGGAGTTTCTACAAGCAAAACCAGTTCAGATCCCTTCACAAACAGCTTTCAAGCAATCCACTGGCTCCAAGGACCTCGTGTCTCCTCTTAAGGTCAGCAGGTGAATGTTCTTCACACAAAAAAGTTGATACAAACTAATCAACAAAAAATTATAACCAGAACATTTAAGGTTTGCAGCTATTTTATTTACAAGTATACATTTAACACAAAGAAACACTGATATCCAAGCCTAGTTAATAGTAGTGTAACAATATGCATCATTTTGATGATTATTCTAACCAACAAACTACACTGAAAAATTAATGCCAGTAAAATTCTTGGTCATAATATTAAGAAATACAATATATAAATTGAAAATATGATTGCTTAAAATTTGAAAATGGAAGTGAAGCCATTTGCACAGGAGTCAGAGTTTAACATAATCTGAAGGGAAAGGCTCCAAACCAACTGTTTATCTTTCAGGTTAACAGAAGAAAAAAAAAATTAAAAAAAAAAAAGGAAAAAAAAGAAAAAAAGAAGCATAGTTTATCCTTAAAGATAATGGGCAGTTTTGCTCCTTCAGGTAGAATGTATTCCCAGTGTTTTCAGGCTTTGCAGTGGAATTACATTACTGAGCATGAAGACTTCCCTTGTGAAGCTGCCCCATCGATTTTTTCTGCCTCCAAAATTATCCTCTTAAAAACATCAACGGCAGTCTGCAAAGAGAGCACAACATCAGTAGGTAAGGAGAAACTGCCGAAATACTGAAAAAGCAATAAAGAAAGACGTTAGCAGTTTACTCGCTACGCCAGCAGGTTAATGCACACCCAATGCTTATTCCAAAATCAAGAAAGGAAAATACGGTAATTGCAGTTCTGAACACAGCCTTTTTGAAAACTGTAAACCCCGACTCCACAGCAATCCCCAACTGTTTTCTCTGTCACCGCAGGGAGGGCAAGCTTAAACTGAGCTAGACTCACAACAGAGCTGATAACTGTAATTTGGCTGTATTTTAAATAGTAAGCTTGCACTGAGCGATTGACAGCACTGAAGATTTTGATGCTGTGCTGCTCTGGAGAATAAACCAATTCATCTCCTCTATGTAATCTTTAAGGGTCCAAGTGGTTACAGAATGACATTTTTCAGCCCGGAACACTGACTTTGCACAGCCCAGTATGAGGGTTCCTTTAATAATCCTGTTTTTCTCATCTAACCTATAGGTATGACCAGTGCTAGACGTGGTGCAAGAACACGAGGGGAAAACACAAGGCAAACTAGGCCCTAAGTGTAGTTGGGTTTTGGGTGGGGTTTTGTTTCAGGATACTGAAAGATGGGAAGAATAAGGTGTCTAGATCAGCATCGTGCATGCCACTTGTACTAAATACCTCACATTGTTCATCTGGTATTGTCAGGATTCACTCAGTTTTAAGGGTTTCAAAATTTTACACCAGCCTCCATCAGAATATGCAGAAACTGCAACATACAGCTTCTGAGGTTGCCTAGAAGTAATTTAAGAACTAAAAAAATCTATACTACAGCCAAGGACTCTTCTCTAAGGTATTTTCAAGCTGAAGGTTCATTGTATGATCAGTACTTCAGCATGAGAATCTTCAGTCTGGAAATGGCCCACTGATCACCTCAGACGTGCCATTTTAAGTTTGTTTGACCTCTAGCCATTCGTTTCATGAATTCCAAGCATGCACTCCTTAAGAAGGAAAGTATATTCATTAAATAAAGGCAGTCACACTACAAAAGAGGATGAAAAGGGGCTTTTGTTGGTTTTAATCAGCAGGCTGAAGAGCACCCTGTGATTTATGGCTGTGTGTTCTGACCCGACAGATGTTTTTCTGCCTCTACAAGGTGTATTTCTTAACTGGATCACTTCCAAATTAATCCCACTGACTGAAGCAGCCCCACAACAATCTTGACAAGGTTAGACTGAATTTTAAAGATTTCTCATATTTACACTGTTTGTGCACAATGCTATCTCTGGAACTATTTAAAATACTTCATCAGCTGGAAATAAGAGCATTCCTTCGTATAAAGGCGTTTCCCTGCAATCCCAACCGACTCTGGCAGAAGTGGCTCATTAGTCCAGCACTATACAACTAATTTCCTGCGCAAATTAGATTCCAGAACTACAGTCAGGACTGCAATTGCTATCAAACTCATGCCACTAATGAAGAGTTTCCCATAATCAAAACTTGATGATATACAGATTTACAAATATACTGCACCAATGTTTCCCTACGTGGAGCTGACATTTTCCATGCTTTCCTTTTAATGCAGAAGTTCTTTATATCCCTGCTTCGAGGCATCTATTAAAAAAACCTTCACAACTTATTCTGCCAACCAAGGAGCTGTACGTTTTGTGTCAGAGATGTGTCATTCGAAACACAAAGATGCAGGAGTTCACGGGGCTTGTTAATTCATTTCACAGAAAATATGTATTCATTGGGAAGGCTTAATCACTGTCCTACAGTTAACCCTTAGGAATTTGTAATTCATCCAAAATATGCTGAAGTATTTCAGAATGAGCTTTTAAACATGGCAGGAAGCTGTGTTTTGTGACAAGGAATAAAGAACACAGCCAGACTTTATATGTATGCGTCTCCATATGGTCCAATTACAGAATGTGGGTCACACCTAGCCCACAGAAAGCCATCTGGCTTGCTTCTACCTTTCTCCCCTGAGGAAACAAAATAAATGTCAGCCTGGGCAGTACACGCTGCCCAGAGAGCTCAGCACCGTGCGAGAGACACCAGCGGCTCAATTGCTGCTGCAGATGTGCCCCTTGGTGCGAGCGGGACAGCCAGCCCAGGGCTGTGGGGAATTGGGAACACGCTGCTAGGAGCCAGCACAGGGAGGTGCAAACGCCCAAATCCAGCCCATGGCCGTCACAGTCAGCTCGTCCTTTCCTATTTCTAAGGGGAAATTCTCAACAGCTCACATTGGAAGTCTTGGCACAGCACTGGGCAAAAGAACTTGAACAGTCAGGTAAGGAAGAGAGGTCTCACCCCACCAATCCCTTGCCAGCCCAAACACACTGGCCCAGGTAAAGAGAACTCTGTTCTGGCAAGTGGATTTTTTGCTATTTCCTGGCCCCTTTTAAAACAAGTTTATCCAATGAATTTTGCACAATTGGATGAACACAATTTGGCTGCTCGTTACTCCCCAGATTCTTCCAGTAAAAGTTGGCTCCCAACTTCAGTAGGGTTTAAGACCAATTTGGATTCTGGTTGCATTTCAAACCATTGCCACTTTATTGTACTGGGATTAAGATGATGTACTATATGATGGCTTAGGTGAATCAAAGCAGGGTATTCCACATGAAAGGCTTGAAGCTCCTGAAGTTAGCCAAAGCAGTCCAACGTATCTGGTAATAATTAAGCAGCCTGAGAAGATCTGCCAGTAACAGCCCAGCAGTAATCTAAAAGCTGTCTTTTCCACTAAGTCTCAGAATTGCCTTCTCAAAGCACAGGGAATTCCCAAGATGACTGATACGTTGCTGATATACAGGCTCCTCCAAAAGTCCTACCAGGTCATCAGTCTGAAGGAGCAGATACATGGCCTCAAATATATTTGACCTTGGGAAACTCTAGTCAGCTGCTACCATTTACCTTCACTGCAGCTCCCATCTTTGCCTCTCTTGCTTTGTATCTGTTCAAAGTCATGCCATTTTCCAAATGTGGTATCTTTTGATAACTCCTGGCAGAATAGATCTAATTTGCTGATGTTAATCAACAGAGCTATTTTAGTTGTCCAGTATAATAGGGCTGTGCTCCCAGGACACCCACAGATGCTCCAAACAGGAACCATCTCCAGGAAGGGAGAAGGGTCAATGCTCTCCCACCCCCTTTTAGGGATAAAGCAGCCTTTGCTATCAGAACATGTAATAGGGAACATCTGCTCTGGTTTCAGCAGTTCCTTGCAAACAGAGCTGCTATACATGACAGACCATGAAGGCAAAACCCAAATCAACCAACCCCTACAGCAATGAGACCTACTCCTCTCCTCAGTGCTGTGAAGAAGTCACAAGCCAAACCAATTTCAGACCAGGACACTAGAAACTGTCATTCTTTTGCTCCACATCCACCCAGCGGAGACGGCTAGGCTTGAGAGAATGGATTAACAGGGTTTTCCCCAGCCAGGAAGGTTTGAGCTCTCTGCTCAAGTACTTAAGCTCTAAATTCCCAATCCTCTCCAGCTCATCCCTTTAAGCATCAAATTAGCTTTCTGTTAAAGCAAAAAGAATCTGTAGTAGTTTTGGAAGGAGTTTAGGCTTAATCTTGCTAGGCAAGTTACATTTGCTGTAACCAAGCCAGTGCAGGTGGTGATTTGGATGAACTTCCAATGAAAAAGTGTTGACAGACTTTCTCCAGTAACATTGACCTACGAAAGGTGAACTTTCAGAACCAGGAGAATGACAACACACCTTGTAACTAAGTTCAAAATAAACCCTTTCTTCCTCCAAGCCAGAGACAGATTCAGAGTAAGAGAAGGTATCCTGTCTCGATAGAGGTCTAGATATCAGCTCTTTTGATCCCAGCAAATTAGGATTTGAGGGAAAAAACCCACATGAGTTCAGAAGTGCTCCTGGTCTAACTCACAGGAAGGGATGCTGTCCCATTCCTGGTGTCTCCTACCCCTAGAGCCTCGCAGCTCTGGACTCCACACTTTGCTCTCAAAGCTCAGTCTTCATCTCTGGAGGTGAGCATTCCTCTGCAACTATTTGCAGGGAGACTAAGGCAGCTGTCTCAGTTTTGGGCTCCTGAACAGTTTCTTCCATACATCCCAGGCCTCCAAAGGAAGCACGCCAGAGAGCAAGAAATACGGTCACACGTTGTGGGCACCCACCTCAGAGGTGACACAGGATATCCCAAACTTCCGAGGGCAGACACATTTACCCAGTGTACTACCCAAGAGGCACGAAGGAGAAATTGTATTCAAGCACCTGTTTGTAACAACCTGCATCTGTCTCCAGAATTCAGAGTGACCTGTGATTGCTACCCTGAAGGATCCTGCTGGAAGGAGGCCCTGGTAAAAACAGCTCTGACAGCAAGAATTAATATAACTTGTGATTTTGTTGGTGGTATTTGTATAGGACTGTACAGAATTTTTAGTATCTGACATACAATTGCCATTCTGATTTCCCTGAAGGCTACAAAGTTTGCTATCTACATTTCAGCTGGCAGCATAACTTAATACAGTTTGAGACTAAGGAACTGACACAGATACACAGCAATCAATGGGACTTTGTTAGTGCAGCAATTTAATATGCAAGACTTGTCAAGCATCACATAAAGCTTGTAGCTTCTTTGCATAAATATATACAGCTTTCCCCCCCCCCTCGATCCCAGAACAATACAAACTTCAGAGAAGTTATCAGTAAGAAATTCTGCTAGATATGAATTGCTACACTGTTACACATTGCGAACATATGCCAGAAGAAAAAGTACAGACAATAGCTTTGTTGAACACAGAAGTATTAAATAATTTAAAATAAAGGGGGTTAGAACCCAGATGTTTTTAACTGGTTTACTCTTTACACTCAGTTTAGTTTCCTTGGGTATGCAATTGAAGCTCTCCAGCAGTACAGAGAAGATACTGAGAAATTTCATGCCTCCATCATGCCCAATTTTGACAAGGGTAATGCAAGTCTTCGCCAGAAACAGAAGCACCGATAAACTAACTCAAAGTACACCGTAACTGGAGAAAAAAAATCCAAGTGTTTCTCCCAGGGAAATTCCAACTTTACTCAAGTAACTTGCAGAACTGTTGGTAACAGACACTGGACAACAGCTATTTGTTTCACTTTTAGGGACCGGGGAGAAGGAAAGAAAGGCTGCTTAAACAGGTCCTGTCCTAGCTGTAGGATTGCCCTTTAGATCATGCTGATGTTATCAAGCAGGAGACCAAGGGTGTGATATGCTAAGTTAAATATGAGACAATGTAAGTGTTTTTTCTGCAAAAGGACTCATTTGGTTTAAATCAGCCTGACAACGTTCTCCCGACCTTATCATGTGTCTGTATTTTCAAAAAGGCAAATGCTTTGACACTGTTGAGACCAAAAGGGGAAAAAAAAGAAAAAGAAAGAAAAAAAGACGACACCTCCCCCTCGATTCACAGCAGTTATCCACTACTCCAAGCTCAAACTAGGAGCCTCTTGTACCTCATATACAGAAGGTGTCAAATCAATGATCAAGTATTATTAACAACTACAGGAACAAATTCAAATACCAGAACACATTTAGGAGGCATTTTAAAGAAAGTTCTTTAGAGCAACCAAGAATAAGATTTAATTTAACACGTAATTAAACATTTTCTTTCTGTGATAGGAAACCAGAGAGTGTAAATATATGTGTGTTATAAGGTGTCAGATCGTGCAGCTTCACTCCAGCTGTACCACAGCAGTGCCTCACAGCCTCTGCTGTATTCTGACACTTTCCTGTTTGTCCCTCCATGAAGACTCACTGAATGATTATTCCCCACATTTGAGACCGAGCCTTGCCTAGCACCTTAAAACGCGAGGTTCATCCCCTATACCAACTCACTCTGCTGCAACCGCAAATGACCTCCTATTTAAGGTAACTGCAGCAGATCACAGACCCTGCTCCACCCAGCATGTGGATCTGAGTTGTTCTGCTATGCTCAGTAAAGCTTAACTTTCAGCTCTTCACTTCCTCCCTCCATTTACAGTTGCATGGAAAAACTTGTATACATAAACCTGAATGCAGTCACTTTGTTTCCGACCATCTACACAAAATATCTCCAGAGTACACACAAATATTTTAGCTTCCTTTATTAAGTGAAGCTGTGAGTCATTCCATTACATTGCTATTCAAATAAAGCCAATCTTAAATCCATTACCTGATTTTCTTTAGCAGAAGATTCCAAGAAAGCTGCATTCCAGGATTCTGCTAAAGCTTTCCCTTCTTCATAGCTGATCACCCTGACCAAAAAGAAAAAGCATGTTTCTTTATAACTTGCAAAAGAATTGGAATTTGATACTTCAGAAAAGTCCTCAGAGTACTGAAGCACATAAATGCATGTAATAGGAGTGTCTTGTGAAGTCTGATCCAGAGCATTTCCTTTTGGCTGCTGTGATAGACACTACTGGGCCAGGTAAAACTGCTGTGTGACCCAGAGGAGCAGTTGCCCAAAGTATTGCTTTGTTTTCATAATCTGTAATATCATCTGGTATTTTACAGCTGTAAAAAATACACTTCTGTTACTTGTTTTTTAAAAACCAAAGTGTTAAACGTCCTTCCCTGAAACCTTATAGCAAAAGTCAACATTACAACAGAAGTTCATGGCTCCAAGTTGACATTCTGGACACAATTCCTTTGCCAGTACCTTATTTTAACCTACAATTTGATTTTCGTTACGGAAAGCCAAGAACAAAAGCGACGCGTTGCAGCCACAAAAAAACTGCCTCGCATTTCACACGTACTGGAGTTCACATACCGTTCCATATGCAGGTCTTTTTTATTTCCAACCAGCATAATGGGTATTCTGTGAAAGAAAGTTTAGAACTTCAGCACAGTTATAGTATACTGAACAAAGCACTAGTAACATGCCTGCAATGAAATGAGATGAAAGTGTCACTACTTACTGGACTTTTCCCACCATATCCAATAACTTGCCATGGATAACTTTTATCACTTCAAAACTGCAAAATAAAGGGATGGAGTCACACATGCACTCTGATGTTTATCCTTAATACCCAATACACAAGCAATTAAATGCATATGTAGGTTGCTGTGTTTAAAACTTTATGTATAGTGGCAGAACTACAAAGGTGCTGAAAGTCTTCCCGATTTGTGTACAACAGACAAAATGGTCCCAGAAGCAGCAGACTCACCTATGCCTACCATTACAGCCTCCCCTTCCCAGGTATGATACTTGCAGAAATAAATAACATTACCTAAGACTGATGCATCTAAGACAGGACCATTAAAAGCCCCTCCCTCCCACCTCCCGTCTGGTTTTATCTGCAGTGAGATATTTAACTGCTGGAGTCCAGCGATCCTGGATGAGCACTTCAAAGTAAAGCAGTTTCAAAGAAGAAGTATTTCGTTAAACACACTCCATCTTGAAAGAACACATTATTTTTTAAGAACACCTAGTTCATATTTATTACTTTAGTTTTATTTATGTAAAAGCCAAAAGAAACCTAAATTCTAGTTCTCTATGGGAAGTGAGTAAATCGATCTGCAAGATGGCATCAAAACAGTGGTTATTAAAATACTTGTCTGCTCACCTACCTGAAGTTTGGATGAAGGGAGGTAAGAAGCAGTACTGTGAAATACCAAGAAGCCAGAAACCTCACTAACCAAATCCACTGCACTTGACATTTAGTGCATTTGAGAACAGGCTATAAATGGGGTTGAAGAGCTCCTCTAATTACAGTACAGAAAAAATGGGGGTACATGAAGTGCATGATTCGGATTTATTTTAAAAGAGAGGTACAGATTTACAGACAGGACACACAACTACACAACAAAAAAGCGACTAAAACGCTTCCAACTTCTAAGGTTGTCAGCTAAAGGCAGTGTCTTGACTTGTACCTCATTTCACAAAGAGTTGAAAATCTTAAAAATAGAGTAGCACTCAACCACACTTCCAACGCAGAGCTCTCAAAAACTGGTGTCTAAAAATACTATTCAAGCTACTTGAATCATTAAAACTTAACACCTCTAGAACAATAAATGCTACCATATTTAAGGACTTTCTGTCAAGTAGGTCAATTTTTCTAACTTCAGCAATAGTTTTCGACACTGAGTAGAACACAGTACTTCTCCCTGTTCAGCTAAAAGTTTCAGTAAATCTTATCAAGAAAATGAGTTATTTGCAAACAAAAGTGTGACTTAGTCTGGCACAAGTTACTATTAGTAACTCGAGTACTACGGATTACATAAAAATGTGGAATCAATGGAAGGACATTAGGGTTACAAAGAGCTTATGCTGAAAGGTAATCAGGGAAATACTGGTCTTGAGGACTTGTCCTGGACTTTCATTCTTATAATTACTTCAAAAATAAGAGTTGAATCGAGCTTGGTTGTAACGAAGTTGAAAGGCATTGCTATATACCAAACTAGGTGACCTGCAAACTGAAAGAGGAACAAAAATACTATAAAAAAGTTCTGCTACAGACCACAAAACTGTTTCTCAGTCTGAAGCAAGAGGAAAGATGCAGTGTACTGGCCACAGGACAACTGAATCACCAGCACTGTACAATCACCGCTTCCTTTCCACTGCTAGGGCTGCTCCCAGCACAGCTGGAAAAAGCTGTGCCATGGCACAGCACCCCAGTGAGCCCTCACCTGAGCTTCCAGCGCACAACGCTGCAGTGTTCAACGTGGGCTCCTCATTTCCCAGTCCTGTGTGTCTATCTGCTTGCCTAGCATAGTTCACAAGCTCCAGTTTTGGTAAAAATACTAAGAATAAACTGAGCCTTGTTAACAGATCAAGGCGGAAATCAAAAGAGAAGTGCTAAAATCAAACACAATTCTGACACAGAGACAAGTTGCTAGGAATTCCTAGGAATGAAATTGGCTTCACCAGATCAATTTAATGTTCTAGAAAGCTTTCCAAATTAATAAGGCTAGAGAGAGCAGAGGCAGAGTTTAAGACAGATACGATACTCTTTTTGGATTGGTCAGTAAAGTCACAGAAGAGCACAAGATCTGGAGACTTCCCAGTTCTGTCAAGCAAATAGGGTTACAGCAAACAGCTCGATGTGTGAAATGTAACAAGAAAAAAAAATACTAGTTGTTGGATGAACGCGTTACACAAAATCACGGAACAGCAAGATACAAAATTGGAATTTAATTAAGCCAAACTAGAGCAAAAGCCTTCCAGTAACCTTGCTGCTGAGAGCCTGGGAATATGAAAAAAGTAGGGCGTCAGTTTTCACTCAAGTCCCATTTAAACTTCCCACTGGAGGTTTGCTGGGAAAATAATCATTTTAAAAAGACATTTCTATTAAGTTTGCTGTCAAAGCTCTAGTCCCTGCTGGATCAATGCTCAGATCAATCCACAGACTTTGACAGAGGTCAGGACAGATGGTGACAGAGATGAGATTGCCTGGGCAAGTCATCTATGCTACCAGAGTACTGCAGAAGATCTCCCTATTTCCTAACACTGTCTTGATGCAGAAATAAGGGAGCAAACAAGACAAGATCATGGATACATGGAAATTTAAAGGAAGAAACTAAAAAACTTGGAATAAATGCATCAAGACTAAAATACTGATGAAATTATTACAGTCTAATTACAGTCTTAACATATCTTGTTCTGTTAGCATTTTCATCATAATTTGGTCTCTATTTTAACTGATTGCAGGCTACCGCAGAAACACACATTTTCATTTATCTGGGCTGCTAAGCTCAAGACATCACGAGGCAACATCTGGAGTAGCTGAAAAGGAGCACGTCCTTTAGCCGCCAACCTGGAACCAGTACAAACTGCAGAAGCCTCCAAGGATCTATGTTGATTTTAGTAAAACACATTTTTGTCCTCGCAGTACCACTTATCAATGAGCATTTTTATCTTCACTTAAGTAGACAATCATCTGCTTCTAGAGGCTGAAAACAGGAACTCCTAATTCATAGCAGTTATTCATCACCAACAATGAAGGTCCGACTTAAAAAAAAAGTTAGTTTAGTATCTCTAAAGACACATGCAAACCTAACATCTGTTGCATCTCCTCCAGATCACATGTGCTCGCCCTTCCCTACTTCAGAACTAAAGATGAAAACACAGAATGAAGGATTGCCAAAACCTGACCAACATCAAAGACCTCGCAAGCAATGGAAGTTTGTAACCAGACCGTATCCTTTCTTTGAGAAGCACGGAAGAGCCAACAGGCAAGCTGTTTTACCTGTATTTTATGGTGGTCTACTAAAGAGCACTTGAGATGACCACTTCTGACTGCTTCAGAGCAATGGACAAAAAAAAAAAAAAGAGCTGATCAGCTTCCTTGCAAGTAGGAGGGAAGCATCAATTTCTCTTCCATGTGAAGAGAGTGAAAGGTCTAAGGTCTTAATAATTTTACTCAAGCAAACAAAAATTTCTAAAAATAATCTTATTTGGCTGTCAAAACAAAGATGCTGTGCATACTAGAAAATACGTATTAGAGAATGACCGGTATTTAAACAAAGCGAGATGAACAGACAGAAGGGACAAAATAATGGAAGATGACAAAGTCTGATGAAGGTTGAAATGCTTCTTGCAAGTAAATGACTCCAGCTACAGTGGACACTGTCCTGATGTCAGAACGGACTGCAGCCAGCAGTGAAGACAGAATACTCTGGGAAATGTTTCAAATAATGTATTTGCTGCAGCATGGCAAGAGTGACTCTACAGACTAAAAGTCATACATTGATACATTGCTATTTATATGAAAGCTTTGGATGGTTAACCAGAACAATCCAAGCCAAGAAGTCAAAGGAATCTCAGTACTGTGATGAGCTACAAAGCCAAGGGACTGATCAAGCAACTAATTAAGTACTTCACATAAATGAACAGTGCCCTTTCAGTTCGTATTTAAATCCACCTTTGTATCTGATGCTAGAGCAACAGCCTCTATTTATTCCTGAAATCATTGTGTACTTTCACCTCAAAACAACAGAGCTCAGCACTGTCTTGCTTCTTCCACAGTACCTTGCATATTAGTCTGAAAAGTGTCTGTGACATTTGGATCTGAGGGGAAATTTCTGAAAACCCATTAATTTTTATTTCCATTATACTTCTAAGGGAGAGAGAGGTTCAGTGGACTAGACACATATAAAGAAAACATAGCAGAGGCAGGAGCTGAACCAGAGTATGTCTGGTTAGTATCTGAACTGGAATAACACAACAGATTTTTTTACCTTTTTATTGACGTGACTGAATAAACAAGAATGTAGCCATTGATGTCTATGGAGTACGTCTGAGGGAATATGGAGTATTCATCCTGTAGGAGAAACATTGCATTTAAAATTACTGCCACAGTTCATGACTTGATGCTGGCAGATCACCAACAGTTCAGTAGATCTATTTGTAAGACATGAAGTGCAGGACCATTCCATATAGGTAGTACTTTCAGAATTAGGTGGGGTTTTTTTAATAAGAACACCTAATGTGGAATCTTTACCAAATTAAGAAAAAGCTGAGCCAGTCTGTATACTCTTAAAATTTAACCTACAGCTTTTTTAGTTTATTCCCTCTAAGACTATGGATCAGCTAAAGCTATCCCAAATCCTCTTACCCTGCTTAATTATCAGTTGATATTAGTACAAAACATCCACTCTGTCCTACCACTAATTAGCAATTATGTCTCTTATCTTGCTAGTGATACATTTCAAACTCCTAATTTCAACAGCTGACAACAGGATCTAGCAGTTTCTAATTTCAAGTGGCACTGATCACATCTGAATTACCTAAGGGATCTGTTAGGAAGTGACTAACTGTGCCTTACCGACAAAAATTAATGCTTATCAACTGTAGATGCAAGAAATATCACTATTAGTTGCTTCAGACAACTAGAAGTTTACATTATATGACAAGCGCTTAATTAAGAAAAAACCCAACACACAAACTAGAAATTTAATCACAGAATTTATTACCCCTGTACAAAAGGAAACGACCAAATAAGCAAATGAAACAGACTGACTATTGCAGGAAATGCAACACATGCACTATGAATCCCATGTTAAAAATCTAAATTATTCTAGTAGACGTTCCCAAGAAACACTTTCATTTTGACAAGAGCCATACTTCTTAACGAATTAATTCTCAAATTCTTAAACCTATGCTTTTAAGATGTTAATTTTAGCTTAAGATCACATAACCTCTCTGTATACTGTCGTAACTGAGCAGATGGAGCAGTGCAATCACGCAGCCTTTATCCAGACAGCCAAAAGGAACCAAACTTCCCTAACTGGGAAATGAGGAAAAACCTTTTATAAACCAACTTCACAGATCCAGCTAACAAAGTCTGAAAGAATAACACTGGACCAAAGATGCCTTTATTGCTACACACTGGGGGCAGCCCTCCCTCATCTTCATCACAATGCCAAACTGTCCCTTTAGTTGACCGCGTAATCCCAAAGTCAACACAGAAGGGATCTGCGCTGCTCTGCGTGTAAAACAGGTGAAAGTGCAACTCTGCGGTTGTTTGCCTTTACCCGGTGTTTCTCAGGATTGCCCCTGCAGGAATTCAGTGTCAGGTAAGATTTCTGGTTGCACTCCCCTGCTGTGATCCTGTCCCAAGGCTCCTGTTGAACTGAACTATGCAAATCTGAGTGGATAACCGTGAAAAGCAGAGAGGCACAGGACAGAAGAGGCGTACCAAGAAAAATAAGTGCCATAACTTCACCTGTTTCTAATTCATTACTTAATTTTTAGCTTGTTAGGAGAAGGAAGAAAAGCTGCTACGCTTCCTGGATCTCGTGGGTCGAATCAAGAATGTGATAAAACATCATAGCTATAACTTTTCAGGCCATAGCCAAGTATATAACAAATCTGCAATATAATCCTTGCTATGCTGTATACACAGGACTCCCTATGGATCATTAAGCAAGACAGACTTGAGACAGAAATCTGCGCAAGCCGCATCTCTCCCCTCTAACCCTGTGAGCCAGAACTCAAAAGTTCAAGTCATTCACAGGAAGAGTCAAATCTGAAAATAACCACAGGCTGGGAAAGAAGCTATTTTGGTTTTACAATACTGTACAACATTAAATCAACCCTGAAAATAAACCTCAGCAATAGAGGCATGTTACTGGTGAAGTTACACTGTCTTCCCAAAAGGCCGTTTCTTCCTCAAAGGAAGCTTTTATCACCGCACTACACTTTGAGACACATGGCAAGCATACTTATCTTGGCACTAAGTGAAGCCTATGGAGCTTGCTCTGCTGCTCCCCCTTCACAGCCTGCCCACCTCAGCCCTGCTCTCCTCTATTCCCCATCAAACAATCCTGCTCCAGCACTCATGGCCAGTATCATGTTCCTAATCACTTCAGACACCTCTGACAGCTTAAGTGGATATAGTGCTGCTGATTAGCACCACAAACTGATGCCATATAAACACAGTATCATTAATTTTAAAGTTACACAGTTTTCTTCAAAGAAAGCCATCAAACATACCTAGAAGGTTACAACCCTTCTGAACAGTCTCCCAGCTATGAGCAAGAGCTTTAAAGCCGTAAGTACTGGCAGTATATTTTACAACACTACCATTAATACTACTCATAGTTTGGAAAAACCCAAAGGCACAATATCTGAACTCACAGAAGGTAAGAACACACAAGCAGTAAAAAGTTTAGGATGAAAATACAGGGGGGTTTAACAGTCCCTGTTCTTTTATTTTTTCCTAATATAAAGCCTTTCCAAAGGTTATGTGTGGAACATGCAGCACAAGGTCAGCCAAGCAGCAGTGTGTAATGCACACCTGTACCTCACAAAGCTCCTGACCATGCTACAGGACACGTGTCTGTGTCTCCTCCTGCACTCCCCATCATTACATGGAGCAGAAGGACGCATGAATCATCCCTTGCTTCAAAATGTAAACTAACTGCAGTAGTTTATTGGTAGATAAGTACTACCTATATGCATTTCTGTCTACTCCCCATGACTATTTCATGGCTGTAAGTCACAGTGGTGTTGCTGGAGCACACAAATAAGAAAAAAGTAATGAAAAACTCCTCCATGGCTTATTGAAGTGACACTTTCCATCTAAAGCAAGACTGCGAGTTTAGTCCATAAATATGGATTAATTTTTGGTATGGTTATGGCAGTTGCTTGTTCACTTTTTTAGGCATATGTTCAATTGATAGGAGGAAAACAAAGCCTTTAAAGATTGCCCTTTGGTGACTAAATGACAAGGTAAAATCATTTCAGTTAACTTTCACCTCTGAACACATGGTCACCACCAACTTAGCTCTAGAGGACTATGAATACTGTCATCTTAACTCTGAAGAAAGATTCAAAGAAAGGAAGATAACTTACTTGACCAGCAGTGTCAACCAGCTGAAGATGATATTCTTGGCCATTTACTGTGATCAGTTTTGTAAAAGCTACAACAAACAAGAGATACATAAATGTCAGACTTGTACACAAGGGATCAAAAGTCACTCATCTATGCCATGGTCAGCCAAAGCACTACAAAAAGAACTTCAATTAAAGGCTTTAAAGTAGTAGTAAATGGCGAGATCAGGTGGCTGTACTCTTAACCAGCAAATTGCAGATGATGAAACTCAGAAGTTTACTTTAAAATTTCAAGTTTCAGAAGATTCTCACATTGGCTGCAGCAGTTTCTCCTTTATTTAAAAGAAAAGAGTAAAAAGGGTTTCAATATGCACTTCTAACAGACTTCAACTGCAATTTGTGGTAACACAAGACGCTTAAATACAATGAGCATCAAAGCTAACTTTGAACTCATTATAGGACATTTTCCCTGGTTTCCAAGCAGTTCAGGAAGATCAATTTTGTAAACGTAAATACTATGAGGTGAATTATTTGGATTTAAAAAATTCTTTGAGGGCTAAACCACACACAGCCTAACTTACAAATACAGTAAACCTACATCTTGAGAATTTAGCTAGAAGATCACCACGTTGCTACCAGCCTATCTAGTCCTCAGGAAGTACATTCAGTCCCTGAAAGTGAAGAGAATCACTTCTCTTCCTCAGATTCATGAAATGCCAACGCGCTGTGAGCTGAGGAATCTTACTCAGTGTTCGCATTATGCAACTGCAGAAGCAAACAGTGTCACAGCTCCTGTAGGACTAATGCACTACTGAGCACTACGTGTACCAACCAGAGCACACAAACCTGGCTTCAGGGCTTTGCTTTGGCCTTCGTGTTGCACTCAAGTCACAATCACTGGACAGCACTGATATACTGATTACAGTTCGCACTGTCTTCTGGTTGAGGTGGTTTTCCTAAACTCTAGCAGTCATAAAAAGCTCCATCTTTTGTGGCAGTGATGAGCACAGAAATAGCTAACACTGCACTGACCTGCTCATCATACTCTGAATCTTCCTGAAGCTGCAAAGCTGAATATTCTCGACCCCGCTGTGCAGTCCCCTGCCTACACCCTCTAGGTTTTGTACAGGGTCTGAAGTTTGCCAGCTCTCCTCCTCCCCACCAATGCTCATTGCCCTGTCAGGTCCCCACAATGTGAGTATTGTCTGAGTAAGTGGGACAAAATATCTGAAACTGGAGGTTTCAACCCACCTAGTAAATCAAAGCACCCTTTTTAAAAATGTGCAATTCCAACAGCAAAGCCAAACTAATGAAGAGTGTCTACATAAAGAGTGTAAAGCGTACCTACAGTTTCCATTACAACACTGACAAGTGCAATTTCAAATGGTGCCTCAGAGAGAAGGCTCCTACCTTATGCTGTCTATCCCCCAAGAAAGCTGCTTTAGCACACGTTCTCACATCACTGCCTGGATGCTATTGACATCGCTGCACAAAATTTTAGGGTTATGAAGTAAGAAGCCACAACAACTTCTGCCTTGGATGAATACCGTGTTGGGGACAGAAGCAACTGTTTGTTTGAACAGATGTTAACACGCAGTGTTGCTATACACAGTATCACTGCGTGGTGTCAGAGGGAAAACAGGCTCATCTGGAGAGGTACCGCATTAACAGGTACATTAAAAGGAACAGTCTTCAGTCTCTTGACACTTCACATACACATTAAAGCACTCTGCAATCAAAGTAGCTTCAAGAGCTTCATGAAGTTAATATTTAAAGAGAGACAGATGGGCAGCTTTTTCAGACTATTCTAGAAGCCTAGAATAGACCCAGCAAAGACATCATTGGCAGCATGGAGCAGAGTGTGACAGAGCCAGGGGAAGGGAAGCAGTGGAGGAGTCACCACAGACTGGGTGAGGAGAACTGTTAGTTCAGTGCAGAGGCTGCAAGAACACCAATCTGCTTGGATGCAGTCGTAATTAATGACTCCCATTTCTCTGCTTTAAAAAAATATTCCGGTAAGATTTTCAACTGGGAAAAAAACCTGCAGCTCTATTAAATGTGATTATTGATCCACAGGTCCCCATGATCCAGAGGAAGTCTTCACTTCCAACTCACCTACCATCCTGGGACACGCTGCCTTCTGCTGTGTCTATGAGCAAGACAAACACAACTGATGATAAATCATGGCACATTGCAGCTCTTCCTGGCATGCCAAGGGCAGATTTCAGCGGACCTAAACAATCTCTGCAGTCCTGGACATAACGTAAGCATCTGCAAAGTGCTGCTCACCAGCTGAAGCACGGGTAAAACCTGTTTTGTAGCTCCACAAAGCACACAGATCTGAAACCAGGACACGCTTACAGCTTGCAACACGCGACTCAAGTGCAGCTGTATGAAGAAAGTTGTAAATCCCACCTTCACCTACAGTCGTTCCTAGTTCTGAAACCTGGGAGAATGTGGTGCTGCAGTGAACAGCACAGCACCAGATCTGTACCTACAGCTCAGGGTGCAGCAGTAAACAGCTGCGTCACAAACAACTGAAGTTCCTAAGTTAAATCTGATGGTTGGACTCCACCTTAAAGGTCTTTTCCAACCAAAACCATTCTGTGATTCTATGAAAGCCATTTTGCTGTCAGAGAAAGCCCTGGTAAAATTACATGCAGAGTGCAGCTCTGAACACTGCTGCAGTTCAGCAGAAGTGGAACTCATGTGGCAACTCCATCAGCTGCTGATCATCGTTACCCTAAGATCAAGCATATTTCAATTAGACTGACATGAATGAAATTATTTGCATGTGTAACTCAAATGTTAAAGCAAGCCATTAGGAAAAAAAAATGAGTACCAAGCATAAGAGTGCAGACTTTTAGATCAACTGGGTCACTGAGTAAAGGTTACAAGAGTGCTGTAACACTATTCCCACAGAGCTGGTAGCTAAATACAACCACCTCATTAGGTGTTTCTCGGTTACTACTTTCTGCATCCCTTTCTACTTGTCTTCATTCCAAAGCCAATGCCTGTCGCTAATCTGCCAGGACATCTTTAACAACACTGAGATGTGTAACGCGACAGAGCTATTTTTAATTTTTCCCAGAAGCTTCATTCCCACCCCTCGAGAAGGCTGCTCATCATCAGTGCCTGGGAAGAAGCCTATTTCAGCCTTCCCGGACAGGTGCCATGACATGCATGGAAGAAGTTTAACCTTAAAGGTGCTTCTAGCAGACCCATCTAAACCTCCACAGCTACTAAGGTGCCTCCAGCCCCCTCCTCCTTTCTAATATGCTTCCACTCAAAACTGTATTTAAAAACACAGGCCGGAGGCAGGAAGCCCTTGGGGGAAGACTGTTCCTTCCCACAGGGAGCTACCGAACCTGTTCAGGGCAGAAAGGAAGACCACAAAGCTGCAGTACAGCGCTAAAAGCCTCTCCGAAACTGCAAGGAAAAGCAGAAAGCAGCCAGGCAGGCCTCAGAGGAGCTGGAGAAAACACTTTTAACACTCGGGCAAGCAAAGTCAGCTTTCCCGCAACACAAAAATCACTCAATTATGATAACCAGAGACATCCCTGCAAAGATGGGGGTGGGGGGCACTTATATGCACATCTCTATTATCTATTTCTTCTGACCTATTTGCTTTGAGTTCCAAATTAAGCTTCTAGTTTTTATTCTAGTAAAATTCTAGAGCTTTAAATTGTTCCGGTCTTGGCTCATCTGACCCAATCTGCCTTCAGAGCCCCATCCAGGCTCCCTGCACACACTCCTGCTCTGCAGCAATCTCCCTTCTCTTCCCAACACTCCCACAAGGAATTGCTCCCCTGCCTTCTCCACCTGAGCACTCCAGAACAGTCACCCATCGCGGTGTCAATCCTGCTGGGACTTTCAGAAAGGGAAACTCTGTTTTGCCATGCAATTAATTCTCATCCCTGTTGCTGACACAAATCACTACAAGTTACTTTTCCTGATACTTAGGTTCAGTAGAAGCAAGTGAATTCACATGTTCATATAACTAACATGTTCAATAGACTAACTTTTCTGGTTCTAATGCAATATGAGCAAAGGAAAAGGCAGCAGTGAAGCAGTGGCTGACTTTAACAAACACCAAGTGAAATCCGATGCAGCTTATTTTCCTTTTACCATTTCCAAAGAAGGTAGAGATTTTTACACCAGGAAAATGACACTAGAGTAAAAGGTCTTATTCCTGTTGTTCAAGGCTTATGCAACTTGTACCTGTAAGAGCTTAAGTGTAGCTTCCCTTCTAAACAATTCAGCTTCAGACTCATTTTTTGTGCAAGTTTTATTATTTGAAGACAAAAATTATAAAGGTTAAGCTACCCGCAGTACCACAGCTTTCCACTCCTTCACCAGTGCTGGTGGAATACTGCAATAAATTATCAGTAACAACGCTCTGGAGACAAAGCGGAAATCACACAGGCCAGACTATTCTTTAGCCTGTATTTTGTTCATTTTCAAGTTTTGTGACACTAAAGTAGACCCAGTCACTACATGAAAACTGAAAAGGTTTTATAACCTGCTGCAAAGCACTGGAAAAATACAACATTCTCCAGTATTGTCCCTAGTACAGGAACCTGGACTTCTCCATCCCTTTTGTCAGCATGGTCAAACAGACTGGAAATTACAAGCTAGGAAAATAATAAAAGAGTTGATTACCTACTTTGTGTCTTACAACTCTGCACAGAATAGAAATCTACAGCTGGGAGTGTCAAAAGAGTGGGCTGATCGAAGATTTGTATTTAGAAGAAAGCATTTTTAGAAGATCAAGAACTTCAATCAAAAGAATTATTTTACATTAATTCCATCAAAACTAGTTTCACATGTCTGTCTTAAAAAAAAAAAAGAACAAACCTTCAAAATATTTTACATTTTAGTGGTAAATCAGTGTTCTCTCTTCTGTTTTTCACATGAGCGTTTTTAAAACATCCTCTCTAGCAGGGCTTAAGGACGTGACAGACTTCCTGCTGTCCTGAACCTCAGGGCACATCTTTTACGTTTGCAATCCCCACTTCCCAACGTGTTCTGATGCAAGAAGGGCCCTTCAATTCTCTACCTTTCAGAAAGTAAACTCCCCCAGCCAAGTCACAGATCGCAAGACTTTCACCAAATGAATAATGCTGCTTGTTTTCCAAACACAGAGGAAATCAAGGCAAAAGTCAAGCCTCTTCAAGAAGCCCCTGCTCAATGAAGTTTTCATGGCCATGGCATGCTCAGTGTTTAGAGTTCAAATCAAGCGAGCAGTGCAGACTACAAGAGTCAAATAAGTGCAGAATTCATCCAGAGTGTATTCTTATAGAATTAAGAAACAGCATTTTATAGCATTTAGAAATGCTACCAGTGCAAGACATACAACTACAGAGCTACTAACAGCAGTTACAGGCAAAAGGATGAAACAAGCCAACCTTGCACCAAGGTGTCAGAACTCTAAAACAAAATGCAGACTCGGTATTTCAGAGAGGCTTTGACTCCATGTCTCTCAAGCCTTATTCTTTACTACATACCTGCATAAAACTAAGATTACTTTAAATATTTTGCATTTATATAGCACAGTGAAAAATAACCTGTCCCAAATATTAAAATTTACAACACAGACACTTAATTTCCAGTATTTTGTCAGCAACTTTAATTCAGGACAAAGCTTATTTATAACAAATAAAGTAAAAAGGGACGATGAAAAGTGTTAACATTAATGAACTCTGTACAAGGACTAACAGATCACTCAGATCAAGGGACAAATTATCCACCCTGACTCGCTAAAGAATTAAGAGCTACTTCAAAAAGTAGCATTTGAATTTTAGTTCTAAGCAATAAAACTATCCTGAGTAAACTATCCTGATAGCTACCGATTTGTAATTATTACCATATACACCCAAAAGAAAACCTGTTTTGCTGATTACTTAAACTCCCAGAGTATCACACAGGCTTAACAACCTACTGCACAAGTTCGAAACTAAAAATACGTGCTACCACTGCATTTCAGAAGTCATTAAAATACAAAAACTCCAGGGTTACGATCATGAAATCAAAGTTTTATTTGCCACATGATTAAAGTGAGCCAATGCGATCAAGTTACTCAGCACAGCACCACAGCTGCTCAAGGACTTTATGTCCACTGCCAGCTCGGAAAGAGCTGGTTGGATTATAACAAGCACCGAGTAATTTGCCTCTGAAGTGACTTGTTGCTCTTGACAGTGTTTTTAGTATTAGTATCTTTACGTGCTTGCTATGCTAGCTATTCACAAAGGCACTAATACTAAAAAAACTGCTAAGGGAAAGAAGACACTTGAGAAATCAGTTACCCAGTATCTGCAGCAAGCTGATGGTGCACCTGGCTTGTTATCAAGCAGTTGGAAACGAGTAATTTAAAAGTCCATCATGTCATCGTGGTCACAGCATGGATACATTCTAAGGTAGTCATTTGCACCTGACTGCTACTGCTAGCTCTGTGTTCATCTGTACAGAGGGATCAAATGAGACACTTTGAGACTCTGAAATAACATATATATATGTGTATAGAGAGAGAGGCACATTTTCATGTAGGTATGACATAATTCAAAATGCCCTGGCTGTATTATGGGAAGCAGATGTCCAAGAATATGCATGTAATGCAAGAAGGAGATGCACTGTAACCAGATTGATCAGGTTTTCCTTCATCTAGTGTCACAGGACAGTTTAGCTGTTTAGCGAAACATGCAGTTATTTCCATGCTGCAATACTGTAAGCTTGCTAAGTATTGGTTTAAAAGATGAATAAAACTTAACAGTTAACTAGTGAGCTTTAGTGTTAATATGTAAATGTCCACAGAAGTAATACGTATAGCCGTCATGGCTCCTGATAAAAGTTAGAGAAGAGCAGCTTGTCCGTGATTTACTTACTGTTCTCTATGGTTGGATCATACGAGTCAACAAACTGTCCTTCCACAAACTGAATCGTCAGTGAAGATTTTCCTGTAAAGCAAGGAAAAGATAATTTGTATTGCAGTAAGTCTTCGGGCTGTTATCACCTTATATTTATTAGTAGATACATTAATGTTTTCATAAGAGCCAACATGAGCTTTGCATGGTTTATTTAAACATCTATACGTGACAACTGACCCACTTTTAAATTAAGTGTCTATTCCTAGTAACTGGGTCTTCTGAAGGGATAAAAAATAGTGCAAAAGCTACTTGGCATGTGTTCTGCTTTTGTTTTAACACAGCATAATTTAAGCGCCTCCTCCAGTTTAAAACAAATCTAAAAGTAGCAGCATCCAATCCTCATAAAACTAAATTTAACAAACTGTTATACTTGGAAGGTTTTTCTCTCAAGAAGCAAAGAAAACTAGAAACACTTCTCAGTTGTTGCACCAAAACCTAGGAACTTGGATAGATTTAGCCAATTTTGGCTTGACCAGGAGATTGGACATCCTTCCCATGACATAAGGATGATCTCAAAATTCTTGGGATCAATGTACTCTCCTTTTCTATTAATCCTCTTACTGCCACACTATAACAGAGCCATGGATGCTGTATTTTGAGTACAGTGATTGAAGGGGCATCATCGGATTTTCTCCTTTGTAAGCAATTGAACTGCTAATTTTGCAGATAACTTAATGTTCCCAATTTCAGTTATGCTGATCTGACTGTACATCCCCCAAAAGAGTAATGCAAAATACTGCACTTGGTAGCAGATTGAAAAAATGAAAACTAATTTAGTCCTGACAGATTTTACGAGACGGTAAAAGCAAATCACATATATTGATCATAAAAAGCACCTTTAAAGCTCTGCAACTGCAGACTTTTCAAAGCATTACTGAAGTCTTAACGCAATTTCCATTACAGCACATCTACATTCGGGAACTACTACTATCGCACATTATGTTTATTGGATAAACAAGCTGTTGTACAGATTGCCAAGTGCATTAGCTGCTTTTGGACACGAGCATATTCTTCATGCTCCTTCATACTCCTCTCATTGGCAAGAAGCACAAACAAAATAGGACCTCAAGCTGGAGTTCAGAAGTATTTTCAAGAACTAATTGTTTTTGATAAAGACGCCCACTTGCAGTGCTCAGACCACACGATGTTTCTACTGCGGCTGTCGAAGTTATTTCTTCTGACGCATTCCTTCAGGAGATACTAAAAAACAGTTTTCCACTTCTAATGCCCCCCATTCTTGCTTCACCATACAAGGCTCTTGACCTGTTCATATCTGACTTTTTATTATCAGCATCCTTAGCAAGTCATTTTGTTAAAGTCATTCTGAAAAACTCCAAGTCAGATGAAGTACGAGGAGGAATGTTACGCAAAGGAACTTTGGTTTAATATTTGTAATTACCCATGTAGTCAATTCCTTCATTAACTGCAACACTTCCAGGATTTACTTCTCCAGGAAGAAGGAAGAAAATGTTACCCAAGCATCATCATTTGTGGATTTCCAACAGCCATAACCTTCATCAACTCACAGCTTGGTTTATTTTAACATCACTGCCTGGCTTTGTCATGCTTATCCCTTTGCTGTTTCCCATCAATCGTGCCTGTTTATTCAAAATATAATGCTGAAAACCCAGCACGCAACCTTTAAGAGTTGCTTTTTCTCAAAACAAGTTCTTATACACCATTTTCTCATACATCTCCCCAGCACAACTACAGGTGTCACACCCACTGCGCACACGTTTACCACATTTACTTTAAAAAGCAAGGGGAGAGAGAAGAAAAAGGCAACCATGAATATCCGAAATCATCCTAATAAGGACAGATTTAGAACTGAGACTATGAATCCCAGTAACTTTCTGAAACTGGGTATTTTGAACACCACTTAAGAGAGGCAAATGAACTTTCAAGCCATTTCTTCTTTAGCTGTAAGCTTACGAAGTTGCCAAAACCAATACATTAATCACTCCATTTTACACCAAAGTTAACTATTCCTATATTAGGCTCTTGTATCTTCAAGACAAGAAGAGCTAAGTTAAGCACTGATCATCACTGAACATTTTTCCTCCTAAGAAGGATCCTAAACTGCCTGAAAGACTTGACTGCTGCCGTCTGTGCTGTCTGGAAACTGAATACTAGAGAGAAGTCAGAGCCAACAGAAAATGCTGCATTTAGCACCCAGCTGTATTAATTACTGCTTTCCTCCTAACGGTGAAAGAGGAGGAACAAAACCAGACAAAACCAGTATTCCAACACTCTCCTCCTAAACTCCTCCAAGCTCTGTAAAAGCCTTCCAGTAATGAAATGTTTGTGATCCCAAGAGGACGCCTGCTTTCACAGATGAGCCACGGGGAAGCTCTCCAGCGTCGGATTCAGCCACGTACCCTCTTGGGATAAGAGCACGCAACAGTATCCACCAAACCAAGGCTTCCAAAGCAAGAAATTTAAAACCCAAGTCTTTAAACACTCCACTGCCTTGTCCCAGCCCATGCCCAAAAAGCACGCAGGGCCATGTACACAACAGCTTGGCCTGAACTTTGTCCCACGGGGTTTATTCCAAGCCTTTGACCTCTGCTCATGGACAGAGAGGAAAAATTAAGTTGACAATTTAGCTGTCTCCTCTTTCCCCAGAAAGATCAGGCAACATTTTCGGGGAGAATTACGACAAAGTCCATGAGGCAGGGGCCGGGGAACTGCACACAACTGCGTCTACCAATGTGCTACCTTCATCCCAGAGCACTGCGGGGAGATGCTGCAGCCTGGTTGTGCATACACCACTAGCACACTTCAGCCTAAAAGGACGAGAGAGCCTAAAACCAGCAGCAAAGACTTGATTTGTTGATTAGTCAAAGGTGCACACCTCAAAAAAAAGGCTCGGCTCTAATATGCCCTCATTCAGAACAAATGCCAAATGTTTTTTAGTTTGCCAAGGTTTTCCTTGTAGCATCCTGCGCACTGACACTTTTAGTGTATCCACTCTCCTCAATAATGGGAAAATAAAGATCTACTGAGACTACAAGAAGTGTCATGAGCAAAAGCAAGACAGAATCTGCTGGAAGTGGATCACTAAATTGACAGAGACCTGTGATTTTAAGATGAAAAAACATATGTAACATCTCACTAAAAACGACTACGGTTTAACCTTTTGACTCTGTTCAGAATCAGATTGCTTAAAACGACTCAGAAGAAATAAATGAATCAAATAAGGGCAACACTGGTGCAGGCCAACAGGATGACCCCTCCAGCTGTACTTGCTATGGTAACTCAAAGTATCAGCTATTCAATGGCAGAGGAGTTGTAAGCAAAATTCTCCCAATTTACTGATTCTCCCTCTCCCTGGAGGAACAGGACAGAAGGCAAGGGCTGGGATGAGTGGGTTTACAACTGTTTGTAATACAAGTCCCAGGTGGCCAAAAGCTCAGCTTAAGCTGTCCAGAAGTACCCAAAGGGTATTTGTATACACTATTTGTTATTTATTATATTATGTGAGAGTGGTAAAGAGAAGTTTTCCACTGTCAAAACAGAGAAGAAACAGGTTTTCAGACAGAAAGTCATTTCAAAAAAACAAAGCTGCTGTATTTCTGTTCCTACAGCAGACCATTTGCTACATAAAGGGGAACGTCCCATAAACACTGACAAGCGCAGTCACAGCACATCAGTTTCAAATGCCACTGCAATTGTCAAGGCAAAACAATTGCCAAATTGAGTTTTTACTCATCCTTTTACTTCTTGGACAAGAGCTGTGGTATTTAATCTAGCCTTAAAATTCAAGCTTTACAACACCAGGCAGCTTACCAAGAAGATGAGTAACTGTGCATGGGTGGGCTCATGAACAGCTGGCCTCCCCAGAAAGGCCATGCCCTCTTTTCAGATCACAACCACCTGCCTGCCGTTCTCATCCCAAATCAGTCTTCTCCTTGCAACAGGCAGAGGGAAAGCCCAGATGAAATTCCCATCTGCAGTCAACTTCCCCAGACTCAGGAGACAGAAATGATGCAACCGCCAGTGAACAACTCAGCCCCCAGCTCCACAAGCGCGGCATTGCACAAGCTCCCTTCTGCAGCTGCCCTCGAACGCAGCATCTCCACGCTGCCGCTCACTGCCAGCGCAGCGCAGTTTATCTCAACAAGAACAATTTCTCAATGGTTCAAATCGTCTGCACAAGCAACCAGTAAACAGTCTGACAGGGTCAAGAACAACAACTGCTAAGAGTTGCAATTCTCTATTCTCTTAAATTTTAGATGCATAGTTTCTTTAACCCGCCTTTTCCCATTAAAACTTCTGCTTATGTACTTTGCTTCATTATTAAACACTTAAGAGCCAGCACCATCTAAACCTCTCCTACCACCAGCCAAGCATCTTGCCCATTCAGTCTTAAAAAAAACTGGTTTAGGCTTTGTCACAAAAGGGTTCAAGAAATTTCACAAGGAAATGCTGTCAGTCATATTAAATTAGGTAAGACTTACTGTGTACCCAGCTTTCAATATCTCATGCACAGCTATGCTCAACTCACTACGCTTCATAGAGATGAAGTTTTCACACTGAAAGTTACACTTGATGTAACTTGAACACTGGGATCTTTATCTTCTTTAATTGAGAATATACCAAGGTGCACAAAGCAGAGACACCAGCACTTCCACAGTGCAGATTATCTCAGAGCACAGGAAGGGACAGAACAACTTCTGGGAGCAGATGGAGGTTTAATTGGGTAGCAAAGGGAATTACAGCATCACTCTTCAACCAAAATCTTTCCAGGAGATAGTAGATGATCTCAGAACCCATCTCCAGCTCATCACTCATCTCAGGCTTCATCATTAGCAACTTTCCATGGTTAATTAAGATTTCCCCCGCCCCCAGGTACTAATTACGGCTATATAGATGCTATTTTGCTGACCACTGCTATGTAGTTCAGTGAATCATTCTAATGACTATAACAATACATCTGAGTCAATAACGAATTATGTTCCCAAACCTCTGGAGACAGTGAATCAACTAGTAGTTCGTGTTTCACTCAGATGCAACTTAATTCTACCATT